TCGATTACCCCGTAATCCGCGTCCATAATCGACTTTCTAATCGACTCCATAATCCGTCCCATAATCGCCAACCCAGAGCTGCTACACTCGATTCGACCCATAATCTGATTCTGCTACGATGCTCCGCTACAGCGGAGTCTCAAAGTTCGGATGAGTCGATCACGGGCACGCTCTCCGCTTCCCTTCGTTCCTTCCACCATCAGCGTCGACGTTGGCTACCTACGCTATACTCCACCTCATTCCTTCTGTCTAACTTATACACGTATGGAACATGCCCGATTACTCACAGACTTGTAATGACGACGTCTGGTGCAACCTAGGGATTCGATTGCGGTCCAATAACGGTCCGCATTGCGCCGCCAGCGCATTCAGTAGATGGTGAACAAGTCGAAGAAGTCTGGTACGTCCCGCAGTGTGTTTGACTCGACATATTCACACCTATAAAGTAGTTTCGCCATTGCAGACCAATGCTGCTCCGGCAAGGCAGACTAGAAGTAGGAAGGCGAAAGCGGAGAAGATAGAAAAGCAGGAGAATGTAGAGAAGCGGGACGTCGAGTCCGTCATTCCAACTTCTTTATGTCCATGCACAGGCTCAACTGCATACAGATGGAGGCCGCCAGCCAACCATCACCTTACCGACAGCCTGTTGACAGCCGTGGAGGCTAGCTCGACGTACAAGCAAGCCTTCGGATTCGACAAAGGGCCAAATGGTACCCCGGTGTCGGGTGTAGGAAAGAACAGTACTCAGCTCTATCGACAACTTGCTCGCACCATTTTCTTCAATAATCAGCGGATCACCGAAGAGTACGTGGATGAAGACCTGGATCGCCTCTCAACGTGTATCAAGAACCGTGTCGCCAAGTATGTCTTGTTTGACTCTTATCTTAGCTACATGTGACCCTTTTCTTGATATAGCCTCAAGAAAATATATCAAAAGCAGCGTCAGATGTTATCCGAGACCGGTCAAGGCCTCATCGACGATGATCGGGAGCATGAGATCACGCCCGGATCTACGCTTCAGAATATATGGGGTATGTTCTTCCTTGTGCTGCTCAGTACACTGTCTAATGGCATTACAGATAAAATCCAGACCGCATTCCCGTGGTACAAGCGCATGAATATCCTCATGGGTGCTAGTCCAATTGTGGATCGTTCTGCAATTGCACATAGTGGCACCAAATTGGATCTCTCCGCTCTTGGGTCATATGCAAAGCGATCCATTACCCAGGGCTCGAGTTCGGACATCGACGGGGGTGGTGGCGAAGACACGGGAAATGGTGACGGCACGGGCGATGGTGACAACGTGAGCGAAAGTGGTGGTGACGCGGGTGGCAGGTACGACACGAGCGATGGTCACGGCGAAAGCAACGGCACGGGCGACAGGCACCTTGCTGGCGGCGGGTACGTTGCGGGTGACAGCTACGACACGAATAACGGGTATGTCGTGGGCGGTGGGTACGACACGAATGGTGGATATGTCTTGGGCGACGTGTACAGCGCGGGCAGGGGGTATGGCGCGGATGATGGGTATACCCTGAGTGGTGGGTACGGCACGGGCAGCGGGAACGATCCGGGTGACACTGGAGCGGCAGCATTCGCAGACAAGGTACGACATGATGTTTACCGCACATTCCTCGTTCTCACCATGCCGCAGGATATACCGACGCCTTCTGCTCGTCACCGGAGCTTTCGCCGCTCCAGCGGGGATAGCAGCTCTTATTCTGGCCACCCCGGGTCAGAGATCTCATCCATCACTGACTCTCATGTGGGTTCGCCCCACTTGGATAACGTGCTGTCATCGCCAACTACCTCTAAGCCACAGGATCAGAAGCAGATAGAGACTGCAGTGTTGTTGGCGCCTGGAGTTAACAGTAACAGTGGCTTGGCCAAACGCAAATCTGACGAGCTGGATACCACGACTGGCAAGCTCGAGGATGCTCAGTTGAAACGGAAGAAGGAGAACAATCCTTTTGACCGTCTCGACAAGATCTCGGAGGCTGAGCATCGCGTCCGAATAGAGGTAGCAGCCTCACGGGCTGATAGTAAAGTCAGACGTGAGGCTGAGCGCACGCGGCGTGATCTACAGCTCAATCAGCAGAAGAACAGATTCGAGGCAGAGGAGTCCGAACACCGTCGCCGGCACGAACTGCAGATGATGCAAGCTCAGATAGAGCTTGCACGGATCCAGCACGGTCTCAGTTCCAGCAGCGTCAACAACCCCGCATTGGGGTCCGATCCGGCGATGTCAGTGAGCCACGATAGTACGTCTTTGATGTTTGCGTGTCACCTCGAGTCTCATATTCTTGCATCAGATTCATGGAATACTCCGAATAGCTTTTCCATGACGGATGCATTGCCAAGTCATAACAATGCTGTGTTTGATCTCCCTGTGCTATTGGACTCTGGCATGTCGGACATGTGGCCGCATCCTTCAACTTAATCCCCCTGCACTGAATAACTTAGTAGTTCCTTGTCCTCCACACCCGCTTGATGGACATAGTAATGGATTGCATTGCATCACTTCGAACTGTGCATAGACTGTCTCGTTATAATATCTACAGTATATTGTGGCTAATCAAAGTGATAGCTGCTCGAATAGAACTCTCTTGAGCTGCTCACGTTTCTGCTGTCCCCTTTGTAATGCTGCATGCCTACTTGCAATGGTATAAGGTGCAACTTGCGCCTCTTCTTGCGCCCCAGCCTCTTCCCTCATGATATCAAGTCCTGCAGCGTAGAATTCATCTGCAGCCAAGTCCGTACCAGCTTCATGTTTGATCGCAACTGCGTGGAGAATAACACATGTGTGTATCCACAATGCAGCAAACTGGATCTTCTTGGGATTGTCGATTTGAACACGAAGGCCTCGCAGTGATGAAAAGCGCCCTTTGAGGAAACCGACACAGTGTTCGCTCCGAACACGGATTTTAGAAACATAGTAATTGTGCTTCCTGTTTTCCGCAAGCTCACTTTCAGGCCTATAACACCTTTTTAGTCATATACACCGTGGTATATTGGTAATACTGACTTCTTGTATGGTGCCTGGCACCATGTTTCTAAGGGATATGCAGAATCACCCCAGACCCATTCATCACCGTTCAGGAGTTTCTCGTGCTCCTTATAGATTCTTGTCTCTGCCCATGCAGTGGAGTCATGCTGACTGCCAGGAAGCCCTACACTGTAGTCGATGATCTGGAGATCAGGTGTAGACACCAGCTGAGAACAAGTCAGTGTAAAGTGATTGCAGGGGCTCAGAGTGCACTAACCTGCAGGTTCATAGAATAGTTGCTTTTCCTGTCATACCACGTATTCCCAAAGAATGCCGGCCGCTCGTACAAGGGAATAAGAGTCCCATCGACCATAAGCCAGCCATCGCGCCATCCTGAACATGACATGGTCTCGACCCAGGATTTTGCCTTCTCCTTTGCTTCTGCATCTGGGAAAGCAATAGCACCATGGCGAAGACCTGAGTCTCCGCAAACTGCAGCCATGACACGCTTGGTGACCCCAATCACGGTTCCCACAGAGACACCAGCCCACAGAGCTACCTTCAGCACACTCACTGCATTGCCAAAGTGACGAAACCGGTACAATGCTATGGCCAATTGCTGATCCACAGGCATCTGAGGATTGTTGGAGTTGTTATGGAATGCAGGATCTGTGCCGATGCAGCATAGGATATTGTCGAAGCAGGCTGGAGATATGCCCGTGAAGCTGCGGAATATATCGGGAAAATCAACCTTGTATTGGTGAAGAAGAAGCTGTATGTTCTCGGGTGTTTTAATGATGGCCTCGCGTTCGTTCATGTACCGTGAGGCCTGGATTGCTGCAAGCTCACAAAGGTAGAGCTGCAAAAGCGGCTGATAGTCATCGGCCTGCTCTGATGAGCCCGATGAGCTCGAAGACTCCGATGCTGATGACCCGGAGGTGTCCATAGAGCTATCTGAGGATGATTGCTCTTCTGACCTGCCTTCTGCTAGCAATTGCAGTGTATATCCCTCTACGAGGTCGCGTATGCTTCGTGCTCGTACGGAGTGTCGAGGCATGGGGGAAAGCGACACACGCGGTATCTAACTCAATCTCGTGGCAAGCCCATTGTTCGGGATCCAATATATTGCAGCTCCGATGGACGTGCCGAAGTGTCGGCAGACAAGGAATCACGCACATAATCCGGACATAATCAGCTGGTGTAGCGGGGGGTTCAAAGTTGATGTTGAACTTTGTATATCGTACAAATATGGAAATATCACACGCTCGTTACCTATTATGTACAGATTCTCTCACATGTTCTATTCTTGTGTTCTTCTTTGCGATCTTCTATCTTTCCTGATTGATATTACCGCTTTAGGCACATTCTTTTGTTCCCTTTATGGAAATGCTTCCCTCGAGCTCCCTCACATATACCAGGAGCTCTCCCTTCGCATCTCCTCAGTCTTTTCCCTTATACTTGACTGAGGAGTGAGTCTGCCATGTCCCTTCATGTCCCCTTATGTCCTAACGTACTTATGATGCCTCTGTAGTCATATATTAGGTACTACAT